GACCATCCCTCGCCTTAAAGGAGGTAAAATGCCTCCTTTTGATACCGACTATCCTAGATTTGTATACTATAGTTTACAAAAGTGGCTCGCGAAAGGGTTAACATTCGACCGAGTTAGCAAAGTGGTAACATAATGTTAATAAGCTCAACTTTCCTATTCTGACTGCCAAGAGTACAACTATCTCGGCTAAAAAATAGTACCAAGTTGGCGGCTTGATATATTTTGAGTGGCTTGTCCAGATCGTCCCAAGTAGAAAAGGCTATGGGATCAATAATTGGTTTTGTGTTGATGATGTCTGGACATGAGTCTTTGTTTATATTTCGAAGATGCTGCGTATCGGATTTTCTTTGACGTGGTATAAAAATGTGAGCTGTTGTCAGTTGAATGCAGCCTTGGTTTTTTTCTGGGTATCCGCCCCAAAAAATCCATATGCTGTAAAACTATTCAGTATTGTAGAAGCGATGTCAGTATGATTTTAACACAGCAATCTATTAGCACACTTTCTACTTTGCTTTGCCGTGAAAGGTTCAATGAGTCGATAGTAAAACGCCGCAATAGTCGATTTGATCGTTTTCCTTTCTGGGCGAGGCCTCTTCTTCGTCGGTGTTGTTCCGAGCTGGTATTTATTGGTTAAACTAATCAGAATAGGATAGCTAAGACTTGGCTCAACAAAACTAATCTGTTGATTGCATTGCCACTTCACTTCCGTCCAGTCTATAACATGAGGGTGGACACTCCTTCTCAGTTGTGAACCAGACCACGGTCAACACACAGCGCCGCACAACAAAACCGCTTCGATTGGTCAGCACTAAGCGCGGCAAGACGGTCTCCTCGCTCATTTGGTTGTTTTATTATCGAGTTTGCTGGTTTCGACTTCACTCCCGACTTGTAGTTTTTTTATCTGAGCCCGTTTTACATTCTATTTAACTTTGCAAATTTCCTCTTACGACAAAATTTAACAATTACAAGTTTCCGCACCTTCAACTTGTTTCAGCGCCTTTAACGAAAGTAAACATATGCTACTTAACGGTGCTTGAATGGCTTTCAAAAACAGCGAGTCGAGAACCTCTTCCGTCATGTGAGCTCTACGGTAAGAGCTGTAGGCATCAGCCAAATGCGCACGACATGCTTTAATGATAGAGAAGATCATGCATAACAAGTTGGTGCCGTTTCTGGACTAGATCCTTCTTTAACTCTTTCCCTGATCTTATGCAACTTAGCAGTGTTTGTCGCTGTCCTGGCGCTGCATCACTGATAGCATCATCATCAAGTCTTGGTGGCGCTGTCGGACCTCGTTGCAATCTCGTTCAAAACGCTCTTCATACTGCAGTCTTTCTTCCACGGTGGCTGCCGTCTCTCTGCGCATCTGGTCATTTATCCCCATGATTGCGGCAGCGGCTTCCTCGCGTGTTTTTTGACGCCATTCTTTACGTTTGGCTCTCTCTGCGGCGAGGGGGCCTTCTCGATACTCCCGTCTGTCTTCGACTTCGGCACTACGATCAAAATATTTCTCGCAGAGGGTGAGCAGCATACGCATTCTTTTGTCGTTGTATGGAGCATACTGCACTTTGGCCTCCTCAAACTCCTTCCGTATCATGCACTTACCAACGCGAGCGGACTTGTTGCTTGCATAGATACCGATTAAAGACGTTTCAGGCGGGGTCAGCTTCGCTCCAGCGGATGACGATCGGTCCGTAAACACGACGATGATGCCACATGAATACATGGAGGTCACCGGCTGCAAAGATTTGTTTGATGTGCCCACCCGAGCGGTACAGCTAGCTTCTCGAGCGTCGAGAACTGCGCGATCGGGTTTTGCTGTCAGTGCAGGTCCATTAGAATCCTCAACGATCGGTCCAGTCTGACGTCTTCCCGACCGATGTCGGTCTGTTGAACTTTCCCTTATAGGTGCCGCCCTCTCCGGGTTTTGAGAACCTGGAATGCATGTGAATACACAACCCTCCGCGTTTAAAACGAGTTGGTGGACGTCAGTGGAGTATCGTCGAGCGGATCAGTCATGCGCCATTCATCTATGGCGCGCCGGAGAAATTCTTGGTTTGGCTTTGTCGTTAACGCCAACTCCAAAGCCATTTCTGACTTCACCATGAACACCATTCGCGTACCCGCCCGATCATCTGTCTTGTGAGCGAGACGCGATCCCACCGCTTCAGACGCGTCTTGTCCAGGAAGCAGTCCAACTTGGTGGTGGCGGGGCGTATGTCATCCGTACTGGCAAATGGCGTCCAGC